CACACACACACTCTCTCTCTCTCTCTCTCTCTCCTTTACTGCTAAACTTTAAAGTAGGTTGCAGATATTGCTTCATCTCTATATACCTTAATGTGCATTTCTAAGAAAAGTACATTCTCTTATATAATTATAATATAAATATAGTACAAATTATCTAAAATGGAAGACTATTTTCAATGTATAACTTTAGGCTTTCTCCCTCCCTCTCTTTAAAGAAAATCGACATATGGAAATTACAGCATGGTTTATTATTACCTGGAGTTGATCCGGATGGAATTTCATGGGGCCAAATTGCACATCAGCTACTGCTACCTATAAGAAAAAGATTCCCTTTAACTATGTATATTTTAAAGCTTGCTTAAAATTTTCTCTAATCAGAACCACAGATGAAACTGAAATTTCTATTCCAGAGAAAAATTTCATGACTTAAATGGTTATTAGACAGAGGAGCCCCAGGGATCTCCTTATAACCCTGGAAAAGATGGGGAGCAGGGAGGTGGAAACGAAATGAGTGGGATCTCGGGTCTTCTTTTCCCACCTCTGTGTGACTTTAAGTGAATTACTCAACCTCCCTCAGCCTCAATTTCTCATTTGTTCCAAAGATTAAATGAGATTACAATGCACAGAGTTCCAGAAGATGAGATGCTAAATAAACACTGGTTCTTTCCATGCCTACTTCATCTTTCCCTTGACGAACAACGAAAGCTTACACTTGGAATGGCACATAAATATGAAATCCTGCAGTCAGAACCGTGGCACCTGGAAGCCAAAGAAATAGTTGGCACTTCCATTTTACAGAAGAGCATAGTGCTATATCAATAAATGCTATTTGAGAGCTTTACACTAAAAGGCACAAAGATAAATACCATGTTATAACCAGACCCCACTAAGCAGTAATCATCATAGCGCTAGAGGAGAGGAGGGCTGGGCGTACACCAGGCACTGTGCTTGGGGCTGAACACAGGGCCCCTCGCCACATCTTCACAGCAACATGGTGAGAGTTCACGGCTGGGAAACTGAGTTTCCGAGGACCTTGTTTAAGGCCGCAGAGCCGGTCCTGGGCAGCTGGCATTCCACTGACCAGTCTGTTCAGTTCTATAGTCTGGGCTGCAAACACAGGGCCACTGGAAGGTGCGTGCTGCACCAAGGAGCCTGAGAGAAGGAGAAATCCAGCCCCCAGCGATGAAGCCTGGTACTGGGTCACGACCCAGAGGGAGACACATCTTGCATTTCCCCAGAAACAGCGTAAGTGTTGAAGGCATCCCTCCCCTCCCCTGCCGGGGGCCCCCGAGTGATGGGATGACCGCATACGTGCAACACAGCAGCAGCAGAACTGGATCTGTGAGCCTTCTCACAGGACACTGCCCGACTGCTGCCCACTTCCAACCTCTCCCTCAGGGAGGGCCCATCCCACAGTAAACACGGAACAAAAGCTGCTCTGATGCGAGAAGTCCTCGTATGCTTCTAAGCCGACGTCTATTAACTGTGGCACACTGGCTGTTTCTGATTGGCTTTGTAGCAGTTTCGTCTCCCAGGAGGCGTAAGAGAAAAGAGGGGTCGCTACTATTCCAGACCTCAGGCTGAGGAGGACGACTCTGCCGCAGGGTGGGAAGGGGAGAACAGACTCCAGGGCACCCCGTTGGCCCCCCAGTGGTGTAGCTACAGGCCAGCCTTATACCGAGAGGCACGGCTGGATGCCAAAGCCAGAATCTCTGAGAGAAGATAATGCACGAGGGCCGACAGAGTCTTAAAGGGGAGATCTGATCCATACAATCATACTCCCACGGAGCACGGAGAAGGACGGCAAGAGGCACTGAGAGGGACTGCTCTCGGTGATGAGTTTTTTGTTGGTTTTCACAAAGTTTAAATCAAGGAATGAATGAAAGAACAAGGAATGATACAGGCCTACGCTTGGAGAATACAGTGGCCCTACCAGGAAAAAGAAAGAGAAGGAAAATTTGTTAATTTCCTGCAGCATGGGGGACAGGAGGGCCACTGCTCCTCCACAGGATAATGAAGTGGGCGGACGGCCCGTGGGTCCTCTACACAAGCTGGGGTCTGTGGCCTCTGACAAAGGAGACTCATGAAATTTGTTATGAAGGGTCAAGCAGATAAAAAATAAGGTCTGAAAGGAGAGAAAGAAAATATTTATGAATAGCGTAAAAACAAATGATATACTAGGTCACAAAGAAAAAAACATTCCTAACAGTAAAATGCGTACAGGTTTTATTCTTCAACCACATGCAATCAAAGCAAAAATTAAAAACATATATTTAAAGAAAACCAAGAAAAATACCCCTTCCATTGAAATTTTAAAAATATTAACTCACATAATTGTTGTATGAAAGAGAAATGCAAACTATACCTATAGGCCACTTGAAAAATGGTAAAAATGAGAATATCATGTAATAAAGACTTACAGGACACTGCTAAATTTTACTCGGAGGCAAAATTCAGTCTTAAATCTTTTTGTCATGAAATAAGAAGTAAGCAAATAAGCTTTCAAGTCACTCGCTAAGTCCGAGGAAGTCAACGGCACACACTTAAGAAAACCAGGAAGAGTAAAATAAGGTTAAAGGCAATAATTAATAAAATTTTTAAATGTTAAAGACAAGTGTGATTTTTAAAAACACAGATGTGCGTGTGCACATAGGGTGATGAGAAGCTGAGGGACAAGATAAAACTGTGGCTGGCTCGGGCCCAGAGCCTCGCCCCTCCTGGGAAAACAACTGCGGACGCAGTCTATCCCAAAAGGGCGAAATAACTTTAACAGACGAAAGAAGCATAACTTCACATCTCAACTTATAAAAACAACTCACCACTACACTAATTTTAAGAAACAAAAGAAGCTATAGCTTAATTTTTTTTAAGGATTATGAATTCTGCCTTCATATAATTTTGGCGATACCATTTTAAAACATTTCTGTCTAGGCAATTCTATTTCACCACTGAACACTTTATTTACTTAACGAGATTGCATTTTAACCTTTACATCCTGTCTACGGGGTATATCCGGCTCTCAGGACCTCTGTCCAGCAGTGTCCCAGCAGAGCCCGACAACTATTTACCATGGCCCCCCCAAAATAACCACCGCCAGGAAATCTGATGACATTGCTCAGTGGGCGGACGTCAGCATTGGGCCCTCAAAGAGTAAACAAGTTCCCAGAGGCCCCTGCTCCGGGTAGGGGATCAGAAATCCTGGAATGCTTGTATCTGTTCTTCCTTCGTGTGTGAAAATCAGAATCAAACTGATCTAATGCTTCGAGTCACAGGCCTCTTAATATTTTTTTCACATTAACATTTAGAAGGGAATAGTTATTTCCAAATGCGTTTTAATAACACAGCTTTGATTTAATCTTTCAGCTTCAAAAGCAGCTGATATTTTTAGGTAATATAGAATCACAGCATGCTCATGGATTGCTATGGGTAATTAAGCAAATTTTTGAGTTTAGCCTTTTGGATTTTTAAACATTTATGTTTTTATTAAGATTCACTGTTTTTAAAGGATTGTAAAATTAGGATATCAGATAAGGATGATGTCTATTTGTATGGTAATATTTTTAAATAATATTTTTATAAATATGGCTGCAGGAACATATAGCAAATTATTATTAGAAGCTTTGATGAACCACATATCAAGTTTCTTTTGTTTGCCTAACTGACCCAACATCATTTACATGTGACTCTGGAGGCGAAGTTACCAGGTTATGAATCTTGATCACGGGTGGCGGTGGGAGAAGAGATATAACTCCAACCTGTCTAAAATTTCTACTCCCCTGACTCTCCCTATCTCCTGCCTGCTTTGATTTTTCCTCCATAGCTCTCAGTCACCATTTGCGACACTACTTACTTTATTATTTATCTTTATTGTCTGTCTCTCTCACCAGGGATTTAACTGCTTTATGCACTACTATATTTCCAATACCCAAAACAGTGCCTGGCACATGGCAGGCATTCAAAAAAATATTTCTGAATGAATGTTTACTCAACAGCTAATCTCCGTGAACCAATCATTTACCTCGAAATCATACTCATACCAGCTATCCATATACATTATATTATTCAGCACTTGCAGTTTTCAGGGTATTTTCATATATATTTTATTTCATAAAGAAACATAAAGGAAGGAATCTTATGAGAAGCTTAAGCATTCGGAACCATAAAATAATGTGATCTCTCTCTTTCCTACATCTTTTTATTAGAAACAGAAAGTTATACTGGGATCGATTTACATTAATTGAGTATAAACCTATATAGAAAAGAATTATAGTAAAAACATAAACCAGATTTTGTCCTGAACCACACTGTCCCACCCAGGCTTTCCCTGTATAGCCAGTGGCCATCGTGTGTGTGTGTGTGTGTGTGTGTATGTGTGTGTGTGTCTTTCTCTCTCTGGGTAAAGAGTGGTCATTTGATCAAAGGGACACAGCCTAGACAAGAGTCAGAAGACACCAGTTCTTAGGTGGGAAGAGTCAAAAGCAGTCTGGATATGTGCAGACCACCTAATACTATGTTATAAGCCAAACACGGAGCCAGGGGCTGGGAATGCAAAGAACCAGTGCCAAACCCTGGCCGGAAAATGTGGAGCATTTTTAACAGAGGAGGAGGGTGCCTAGGATGTGATAAATACTTTGCTTCCAATCATCTTCAAATACAATTTGGCCCTGACTCTATGAGTAAGGTGAGCTCATTAACTCCATTCTATTGAAGAAGAAACTGCAGCTCAGAGCAGCATGTTTAACAGCTGGTAGGTGGCCATGGTGGAGACTGGACCTAATTCACAGACATTTAATTCCCATGGTCTTTTCATGCGCCATTGAGAAAGGCCGAAAATCACCTGCCCCTTCCCTGTATCTAGCTGAAATAAGCCCAAGAAGCAGGAAAGCAGCACTCGCTCATTCAACAGATCTTTGCTGAGCACCTACTACGTGTGAAATGGTTTCCTAGGCACTGGGCACATGACAGAGAACAAGAAAGATAACATCTCTACTTAACAGGGAGAAACAAGAATCGGAGTCGAGGAAGGCCCCTCTGAGGCGGCAACATGGAAGGCGACATCTAAATGAGAGAAGGAGCCGGCCATGAAGGAAGTGGAGGAAGGCGCACCAGGCGGAGGGAATGGGATCTGCGGTGGGGACAGGGGCGCGCTGCAGGAAAGGGGGCGCAGAGCTCTCCAAGCCAAGTCAAGAAACTTGGGTTTCATGAAAAGCCACTAAAGAGTTTTATACAAGGAAGTGATTCTGACCTGATTTTAATATTTTAAAAAGATCCCTTTGGCTACCCGTGGACATGTGGGAAGAATGGACAGTGGG